GGGGGGTACGTTTGGAAAAATAAATTCTCTCTGGTGTCATCAACTTGGAACGATTCAGTAGTCTGCAAAGTGATGAGAACATTGTATATAGGACAAGAAATTGGGGGTGGAGGGAACTTACATAGATGTAGAGGTAAAGATCCATTCATACTATCCGCCGAGCGTCTTGAACGCGAGCTTCCCTCACTTTTGGTAGTCTTGGTTTCTGCCATTGTGGCTATGGGCTTTATCACTTGTTGCTCAATTGGACTACTGACAGTAGCATGAGTGGGTTTAGGCTGTTCGACCGGGTAAACGGGTTGTGAAATATGTATCTGTTGCTCTTGGAGTTGAGTTTGTTCCTGCTGTTGATAATGCTGTTGTTGTTGCTGCTGCTGTTGCTGTTGTTGTTGGAGTTGATAAGTTTCCATGGACATAGAGACCTCATAGGTCACTTGAGATTCATTGGGCTCCGATAAATAGGGCTCCAAGCTCGAGAAAAGATCAGTCGGTTTGAGCAGAGGGAGAGACTCGCCCGTATCCCCATCAGCATAATCGCAGGGAGGGAGTTCAAGAGAATCCCAAATTTCCCAATCAATATCACCAGTGCCATTTCCACCTACAGCGCTGTTATCCATCCATCCATTTGATGCTGGTGGATCGGAGACACTATTCACCATCGTGTTCATAGGAGATAAGATTGGGAGTTTTTCATCGACTTTCTGCTCATCTTGAGTCTGTGCAGAGAGTGGATCTTGATCACTGGTTTTCTTGGCTGAATTTTCGTCATCGAGGTCAACGATAGATGCAACTGCTTGTTCAACTTCCACGTCTGCTTCCCCATGCATTCGAACTGGAGTAGAATTGTTGAATCTCACCAAAATCGGCATGGAAGTTGGAGGGGATTTATTCTCATAATTTTTGGCGTATACGGACGGATCTGGATAACAGGCGTTAGTATGGGATTGAGAACTGGCTTCGGCATTATTGAACACACTAGAATCCACTGAATACGTCGAGGAAGATGAAGCCGAAGGAAGAGTAAAGAAATCCGGCGAAGGAGTTTCGAGAGTGTGAGAATGACCGTCAGAATTTTCTGATCGACCAACGGCTAGGTACGGCTCCGACTCATTCAATGTTGACAGATAAGCATTCATCGACTGAGATGGAGGTCGCTGATTTCGATGAGAGACTATAGCGCTAGGTAGTTTTTCGGCATCAATGTCCTGCGTGGTGGAATGCAAAAGATCATTAAAGTAGGCATTGGATTCTTTAAGATCGGCAAAGTTGATCTCATTCCCAGTTACCGAGGAAGTCGACATGTTATTAACGGTCGTGTCGTCACATATATCCGAGGTGTCAGGAAAGATATCATAGAAATCAAAGAAATCCGGTGCCGTGGACATATTATTTCCTTCCTCCGTTTGGGCATTCTCAGGCATCTCCACAGAAATATCAATTCCCGAGACAACGTTGGATGCATTGAAGGCAGTTGAAGTGTTTCTACCACGATCTTCATCGTGATTCCAACTTTGTGGGAAGCACTCCTGTAGAATGTCGTGGCGGTAGGTGTTTGAGGGTTCCAGGTTGGTAGATTTTGTGGAAAAAGTCTGAAGATCTTCGGAGTGTTGGCGTTTAAATGAAAGACTGCGCTCTGAACACGAATGTGGCGGTGAAGCAGCAAAACATAAATCTGTAGCTGGGGTACCAATCTGTTTGTGAAGTCGACCTTGAGAAATAATTGTGGAATTAGTTGTACATAAATAGTGACTTACGAAAGTGATCTGTCAATCGACTAATGAGAATGATTGAATTGCAGAGGGTACACAGAATCAACTCTGCTCTAACGTCGGACTTCCCGGAAACACGCTTTTTCTGTGGGGAGTATGGAAGGGAATCTACTAAGGAAGTTAATGACGCGGAGGCAGTTTTATACCTGTGTGTGTGTTTACAAGTCTGTTATATAAGAGCTCCCAGGTGTTCTGGTCAGACATGAGCCATACAGCATGTGCAAGCTGACAAGGTTAACGTCAGCCGAAAAGAATTAATTCCCGGAGATGAGCTAGAATATTATTTAAATGACTTAGCAATAATAATAAAGCAAAATCATTATATAAAATACAAAATACTCTACAATAAATCCTATTAAATTTGCTGATATATCGGCTGAATTCAGCACTATCAATAGACAAAGATTTTTGCCAAAAATAAGATGTTCTATTATTTTAGGATAATAAAATTGTTTAATTAAAAAAATTGAAAAAACGAACAGCAATTCAATAATGACAAAAAGTTGGAATATAAAAAAATAATTTGTCTTACCTAATGCAATACTCCTCGGGAATTCAAAGTCATCTCAATTGCGCAAAACGTTTTTGGCTGATGTAGGTTAATTAAATTTAATTACGTAAAACAAATGTAGGTCACGCAAAAGTTAAATGGCTGAAAATTTATATAAAATTACAAATATAGTAATATATTTCATTTTATAAAATAACTAAATTTTAGATTACTTTTACATTGAGAAATTGCAATAAAATACGCAATGAACAGAAACAGTGAAATTGGATTAAATATGAATAAGCGAAAGAAACCATTTCACTTACACTTCAATGTATTCCAATTTGCCTATTGTCTACCATTGATCTTATTTATTTTGTTACATTTTTAGACATGCCAAGGCTCATTCTTGATCCTACTGCCCGATTAATATAAGGATTAATTCAAATAAAATTATTAGTATTACGTCTGTATGGAAAATAAATGTTCAACCAGTGATAACATAATTCATAGGAAAAATTGTAAATTTTGACTGATGTTATAGACTAGAACGGCTTTATTTATTTTTTTACTATTTATTCAGATTGATTATCTTAAACTATTACTTCATAATGCACTCCATCAAAATTACGTTTTTCAATACCAACTGGAGAAAGTGAATACTCATTATGTGCTATGGTATAATTTTTATTATTTCTGTAGCATTTTATTATTCAATAATAAAAATAATTATTTTCCTGTAACCGCATGATAACAAATATTGGCAGATTTGGTCTCTCCACCACTGACTAATCATTGTATTCTATTTTCATTCAGGCGTGCGCTTTTGATTGTTGATATGTTAAAAGGTCTCCCCGAAATACACAATCTTTGTATAATAGTTAGCTTCAATGTTTCAAAATTTAGTTAAAATTTGGTAACTTAAAAATAAAAAAGAATAATGTTATACTGTCAGAACCACGAACTATCACTTGCATATTGCTGCTGGGTTGATTCATTTATTAGTCATTGCATCCTCCCAAAGGCCTCTTCAAAATTTTATGTTTCGAGCACCTACTTCACGTCATTTATGATTAAAAAAGAACAATTATAGTTCAACTTGCACTAACTTGGCATAAAAATTTTGGACATTTATTTGCTCGGTCAGGTCATTTTTTTAAATACAGAACTTAGATCAAAAGAGAACAAATGCAGATGCGTGTTTTTCGAAGTGAGTTGTGGAAAGAAGATGATATTGAGAAGCATACATCGACAAACTCGTATTTGTTGGTATAAAACTTAAATAAACATGTTTGTGAGACAAATACTTATAATTTATTAGAATTTTATTTTTTAAAATCAGCAGTGTTTATCGTATTTTTATCACCTTCAGATAGTGGTGGTAAATTTTAGCCTCCTTTCCATAATAAATCCAATGATCGATCTTAAAGATAGTGAATCTGACATTTGGGATGAGAGTGATGTACAAGGTTTTAGTTTTGATGTGAGTTTTATTTTTCCTCTTAACTCACTTTTAGGATATAGAAACAAGGGATAATCAAATTTATTCCGGTATTAAAATTATATTTTATTTTAACAAATATTTTAAGATGCTTTGGCTAAAAATATCAGTGGAAATGTCGTCGAAACAACGTTTATCCCAAGCTTGACAAGCGAAGATTGCTCTTTCTGTAGCCGAAGGCTTACTGATTTTGTCAAATATGAAGACAAATCTGCATTCTGTTCAGAGGTAATTTCGAAGTTCGAGTTCTGAAATATGCTCATTAGGAATGTTGGATTTCATGTCTGCGCTCTTCTCTCTCTGATCTTCGAAGTGGTGGTATAAGTTCTTGGCCCATTAATATGTTCGTCTCACTTGATTCCAAACGATCATTGCTTAAACTAGCTGCTGAAACGCTTGATGGAGATTTCTTACTTAAGGTTATTTTAAGTGTCAAGTCGAGTTTAAGCAGAACATTATTCTTTACAATTCTCCTCGACAATGAGCTCTGCTATAAGCACTACTTGCACTTTTTAACGGAAACCTCAAAAACTGATGAAGCAATCGAACTTATGAAGTGTGTTTACGGCTTCTTCACTTTGTTTATTTATTAAATCTAGGGCCCATGGTTCAATTGAGGAATCTAAGGTAGATTGAAATTTTTTCGACTTATTGTGAACCTAGATTTTTACCTTTAAAACCCGGATGGAAGCCTTACATTCAGTAAGGGCAGATGAAGCCGAGAAAGCTATGCTTCAGTTGCATACGTTCGCAGCGTAAGCATTAGTAAATGAACTTACCTTTGCTCTTATCTAGAACGGAGTTGAGCTCTAGTCCCGCTCTGGCTTCAATGCACGAATCTGTGACGCAGCAGGCCGACCTTTTAAACTTTCAGTTAAAGATTGTAGGTTGATATCTGCTTTATCTATTGCCACTAACCCCCCCCCCCAGAGATCTGAATGGGCGGCATTTTTGGACTCGCCAATTCAAGGACCAGTGAGATCGATGCTGAATGAACTAGACGGCCCGCTTGTTGGTCAAAACTTGGCGAATACTATTATTGTTTGCGTTTTGATGGATAGGAAGGCTTCTAAAGGAAGCAGAGCGGATATACTCAAAACGGCGCATAAAGTGAGCTTGTTTCTTTTCCCTTATTTTTTTTCTCATCGTAGCTCTTTCTTCCTCCGAATGAAATGGCTATTTAATTTGTAGATGTCAGATGAGCACTATCGATGGCTTGTCCTGGAGCCGCTTATTCATATGGGACTGTGGATGGAAGTTGACTTGCTAATTCTAGAGAAGGTTCGTTTTCTTATTTCTAGTTTTTTTCTTTTAATTCCATAAAACTGAATTTAACTGTCCATAAGGATTGATCATGAGAACCTATTTTCTTATATTAATGAATTGCAGTTAATGAAAGAAATTTTCCATTATTTCACTTTTGTGATATTCTAGAAATGGTTATCGAGAAGGCCCACTCCCTCACTCCCAATTGATCGTCTTATTCTCTTCCTACATTCCAGTAAAGCCCCCAAGGATGTGGGTTAAATTTTTAATGCCGTGCTTATAAGGTACTTTAAGATGTCCACTAATGGGAACATTTTTTATATCCCTCATAGGTAAAGCGCCGATTCATTGAGTACGTGCCAGATTCGGATAGTCTCATTGACTTAGTTGTGAGACTTAGTCTTTTCGATCTTGGTTTGGAAGTAAGTCTCGAAACCCCTCTACTTACAAGTACATAAGTAGATAGCATTTGCACTCTTCAATGACTAAAATCTCCGAGTGGTCATGTTTGTAGGTGCTTCGCTTTAACTGTCCCCTGATTCGTAATATCCATGTTATATTTCAGCATTTCATTCGTCGGAAGGACTTGAACGGCTTACGTGCTTTGATGTCTCGAATTCCGACCAGTCGGCCTGAATTCCGAGTTGGACAGACATATCTTGGCAAACCTGTAAGTCAACCAATTTTTCCCTTATCCTAATGAATTCTTTCATTCAATTTGTAGACCAATCAGTGGGTAGAATATACATCTCAAGACTGAAATTGAGTAACTTATTGGCTGTGTACTTGTGTTTACCCCCACTTATGATTTGTAAAGTATTGTTTTCACCGGACATTCAAAGATTGTAATTTCCTAAAATACAACCTATTTTCACTTCGAATTGACTTGAAAATGTGATTTGTTAATATAGTTCATGCACAGAGGCGCATTTACTGGTTATTGACGAGTAGGCAATAGACTTTAAATTTCCTTCAGAGAGGAGGTTACTTATAACAGAACAAAAGCGTGCATGTTCGGGCGTCTTCGCAATCTTTCAATGCCTAAAGTTTAAGGCCATTTAAATACTTAGCAAAGCGCAGACGACTAATAATTTCTCCACCTAGATAGGAAATTTGACTTTTCTGAATTGTAATTCCGCAGTTGTCAAGACAAATAACAGTGATGATTGGACTGATAGTTGTATCTTTTTAATGATTTGACAATTAATCGGATAAATGGAATTCAACAAACATATTGTTCGTCTCAGCCTAAATACGTGATACTTTGCGAACATCCGGTAAATTTAATATTACTGATCACTGGAACATGTGACAAAATATTAACTGAATGCCAATGTTGAAGTCAAAAAATAAGAAACAATCAACAATTACTAATGAAAGTAGAAAACATTTCTTTTAGTACTACTTCTTAGTGCACATTATCTAAGTTACCTAGTTCACAGATCTTTGAGGCACTCAAAAAGTAAGCAATTAATATTCAGATATAAATGTGTGAAGATATACTACAAGATGATGAAACAAATTAAATAAACATGGTAAGTACACTGATAGAAATGTGATAAAAGATTGAAATACGAGCAAAAAATCAGTCAAAATTTATTAATTCCTTCGTGCGGAAGTTGAGCGTTGGTTACCAGTGGATGGCGCATTAGTAACCGCGCTGCGGATATTTTGCAAACAGAAGTTTCCAAACTTGCCAATTAGTGCAAAGAAAGAGAATCCCTCTTCCGTCTTCTTCTTCTTCGACTCATAAGGAGCTTCAGCAATCCACACCGCTTTCAATACGATACCTAGAGCGCCGATTACAAGGGCGAAAATGGCCTTTGCGATAATAGTGAAGAAGATATTATGAGTATGGTGCTCAATTAGCCTAAATAAGTCCCGATAATCAAGATGATAAATCAGAAAACCTACCCAAAAATTGAGAGATGAAAGCATGAAATAATGAAAATGAGAATAGCAATACAAGCGGCGGGAACATTCTTCACTTTACGCATGAGTAGCCACGGAGCAAGAAAGATGACGAAATTAAAAATCTAGTAAAAGTAAGAGGAACAAATAATCATACCTACCAGCTCAAAATTGGCATCCAAACTCAAGCTGATGTAAGCCCAGTCAAACTCCAAGCGACGAGTACCAGTCCAGAGTGGGATAATTCTAGATAAACAAAATTACGTATAAAGAATATAAACCTACTTTGTGAAAATTAAATCACCAAAAGACCAACCAATACTGCCTAGGGCAACGGCAAGATCTTTGCGTCCAAACATTTGAAAATATGTGAATCTGACAGCCAGAGGATTGATCAAAAGCCCAAGAGCTTCCTAAAATATATGTCAAATTGTATCAAATCACAAAAATTACATAATTAAAAAGCCCGACGGAAGAAATTGTATCGATATTCACGTGCAATAAGGTACCAAGAAACATCCGAGCTAATTGGAAGACACCATACAGAAGTATAACTTGAAAACAACGCCAGAATGCATCATTTTCTTTTCTATTAACTGTATTAGAAAAAAAGGAAATTAAAACTCACAATCCAGAGGCTCTGTAAGCTATAATGTGGGGTCCACCAGCAAGAGCCAAGCAATTAAAGAAGTAAAAATACCCCATTCGGCAGTTTCTGAGATAGGTTATGCAAATAGTTTTTTAGCAAAGAACGTTTACACGTTTTAGTCTTAAGAACTAAATATCACGTTTCGACTCACGTATTAATAACACTAGAATACAATTATAGCGCCTCTATTTCGATTGGTAAAAGTGTTAATTTTTTCTCGTTCGGGTAAAAGCACAATAAATACAGATAAATTATTTTAAAGTTCGTGCATTTAGATTTTTTAAATCAACAACGAAATGTTGCTCTGTGATTACTGAATCTGTAAGATCGCGAAGAATCATTCATTCAATGTGTCGTTCTGAAAGAATAGACCCTCATTGCATATGCATTTTAAAGTTGGTAATTTGCACGCATGCAAAAAATTTCATTACATTTTCTGCAACCAGTCTGGTCAATATTTTTATTTTAGAGTATTTTAACAAAATCTATTAGTAAATGTGATAGTACCGTCAGTGTACTCAATCAAAAAACAATGTTAAGGTTGGCAAGTAATAAAGAGGTCCGTATTAGTCTTACTCTTTGTGAAATTCAAGCAGTATGGAATGCGACACGCTGTCATGGCTGAACAAAGAAATTCCATACGCACTCAAACAGACTCGAAGGTACGTCCATTCTGCTTGAAGCGTAGGGCGTAGGTGCGTTATTGAGCGCGGTAACCTGCCAGCCAACCACAAAGCAATAGCTCTTGCTTGACCCAACAAACCCTTCATTGTATTATGATGAATAAACTCCCCGTCAGTAAAGCACAACCAAAATAAACGCGTTCAACCAGATGCGTCTGTTTAGCATGCAGCTTTGCGGAAGCTTAGGTAATCCTGAGAACCTTGACGAACCAGTCGATCTTACTAATATAAATTACTGAGAATAAGTTAATAGTATAGCACGTCTATCCAGGAAAAAAATAGGTGCTGACGGCAGCCCGTTATTTACAAAATAGACGTAAACTATCCAAGATACTCTCATTGGACAAGCGATAAAATTTATTAAAAAGATGTTCATTTAATCGTTTATTATATACACCCTCATTAAACTTTTAGTTTTGTACGATCAATCATAATGCAAGCGATTCAATTCGTTTAGCAGCTTCCTGTGCTTCGAAAGATCCAAACAAATCTGTTTCAAAAAGCTCATTGTCCTTCTCCTTGATATTTTGCGTAATCCAAATCCGAAGCTGCCTAATTTGTTGCGCGAGCAATTTTGCATCCACCAGAATATCTCGCTGTTTGGCATTTTGATGCCCCATCTAAATTAAGTTAAATGTTTTAATATTTCTCACCTGAAATTTCTTCTCTGATAGTTGCTCTTCCAGTGAATAAACTTTTTTTGTCAATTTATCCACTTGTATGAGATGTTCCCTGCTAAGATTATGCATTCTGTTGCGCTCATTTTCAACTGATGTAAAAATTTCCTTGGCCTTTTTATTCTCTGATAGTAGAATTTTGTGTTTCTCCTCCATTTGAGAAAGCTTAATGTCGAAAGTCTAAACCAAATACGCAAAGAATTCTGTCAAACCTGGTTTCAATGCTTCAAAACTTTTATTATTTATTTGTTTACATCAAATGGCAGGCTTTATGATAGTCATCATTAGCCCCTTAGTTGACTTCAGGCTTCACAGAGGGAGAGGAACATCAAATCGAAAAAAGTCGAAAGGGGAGGGTGAACAGAAGTGTTTTAAAGATGTAAAAGAGACAGACACAAAGGTAGAAAAAAGGTGAGGTGAGCACTGTAGAAGAAGTCGACAATGACATACAGTGGGGGTGATGGTAGTTTGAAGTGAGAAGTCAACTGCCGGTTTATAGACTTTTTTGCCGCATGAGTATACGCTGCCCAGGGTGCACCACGTGGAGGTAAGTCTATCGCACACCCCCATGTTTCAGAACTAAGCTTTAACAATTTTGTGTACAATAATGTGTTTGATCGAAGTTGGAGGATTGCGTTACTTGACATTCTAACTGCCCGTTAATAGTAAGTCTAATACGAAATGCTTAAATTTCTTTCAGTTCGTTAATAAAGCTAACACACTTGTTCTATATATATACAATTGTGAGTTTCAGATAAATATCTTTCTTCTTACTTCAACATTACTTCGGCATTCCTCTCGAAGTTTAGCGATTAGTTGGCCTTGTTGCGTGATTATCTCTTCCGCACGACCGATTTCGATCTCATGATTTTGAGTTAGCCGTTTAAGGGCAGAAGTCAATTGTGACTCTCGTGACTGAGCAATCGTGACCATTTCTTTAATCTCCACTTCATGTTGTTGAGATGCGGTCGCAAGGTCACCTTCAGCCCGTCTAGACTAAAGCACAGAAGAATCGTATAAGGCAGTTTCTACCTACCATAGTTTCGAGGGATTTTACTCGATTTAAAAGACGAATCTGCTCCTCTTTTGATAGTTCCAACTCAGTTTGACACTTCTCAGCTCTCAACAAAGTGTCTTGAAGCTGAGATTTAAGCAAAGCGATTGATTCTCTCATTGCGCCTTCATCCATATCTGCCTGTTCTTGAATTATCGCCAATCTCTTTAGAGCTTTTCGTCTAAAGTGATGCTACTTTCTATTTACTTTCTAAACCTACGAGGTAAAGTTTGCCGTTAGCAGCGACATCTTCTTCTCTTCTTCAAGTCTGTTTTTCTCGTCTCTGAGACGTTTATTTTCCATTTCAAGAGAATAAAGCCTCTTCATAGCATCTTCTAGTTTGGATTCTGCGTGTAAAGCTCTTGCACTTGAATCAGCCGCTTTCTTTTCGGCCAGTATGAGTGTAGCCTTGATGGTCTCCAATCGTTCATCGCATTGATTGAGAGCGCGATTTAAATTCTCCCGTTGTTGAATTTCTTGATTACGCAGATCTTCAGCAAATCTAGATTTCAAGAGCTCAATCTCCTCCAAGTCATGGATTCGAGCATTTTCAGCCTAAAATATTAAATTCATATAATAAAATTTTAATTGGCATTCAGTCGTGAACACCCGACTTGTTTTCTTATCAAAGGGAAGTAATTAACGGTCGAATATAGGCTATATTTTTAATACTAAACGAACCATGGCCAACTTCTGTTCAGCTGATTCGGACATCTCTGATATTTTTAGAAATCTTTTAGCCAAATCTGCATTTTCCTTGTAGACCTGTCTAAACCGGTCTCGAAAATGAAGAGCCAACCTTAGCGTGTCAATCTGTTCACTATAAAACACCGTTAGTGTAACATAAGAGAAGCATAAAATTAGTACTTTTAATAATACAAACCTTTCTAACTGAGAGATTGTCATTTTCAAAGATGCGATTTCACCAGTCATTGATAAATCAGGGAGAGACTTTGACAGGTCGTGCCTATTTTTATTCCTATAAATTAAATAATAAAATTAATAATGATTAATCCTTTTTTAAGTATTCTTTTGATAATTCACCCAATATCAACACTCTACCTTTTAGGTTATTAAATGAGTATTCCTTAACATGTGTGGGACACGTTTCGCTGTGTGCGTCATCGTATGCCTGCATGTCTGCTCGCCAGGATTGGGAGGTTCGGCCGTACAACCCGGGACAAGCCTTGTGGGACACGTCATCGCATGCCTGCACGCCAGGACTGGGAGATGCCAGGATTGGGAGGTGCGGCCGTACAACTTTGTGTGCAGTTCGCCAGGATTGGGAGGTTCGGCCGTACAACCCTGTGTACAGCGACCGTACAAACAGTGACCAATCATTAACCTCTGTTTAACCTAGTCCCCCATCCTGATCATGAGTAGCTCCCTACGCGTACACACTTTTATCCGCAATACCCGTACTGGATAAACGTGCTCCGTGCTACGCGTCTGTTTCCTTTATAGCTAGTTATCTAGCTAGAGGTTGGAGAATCTGCCATAGAGATTTCTGATTCCTAGCTAGATGTTGGAGAATCTGCCATAGAAATTTCTGAGCCGGTAGCTAGATGTTTGAGAATCTGCCATGGAGATTTCTGAGTCGGTCTAGATGTAGGAGAATCTGCCAAAGAGATTTCTGAGTCAGGAGAATCTGCCATAGAGATTTCTAAGTCAGTCAGGCTTTACTTAGGGCTGCCATAGAGATTTCTGAGTCAGTCAGGCTTTACTAAGGCAGCAATCCGCTACACATGGAAGTGAATTCTGTCATGGCAACCACAAAACATTAGCTGGAATAAATAGGAGGAACTAATCAAACCAGGTATTACTCCATTCCGCTAAGGCCATAACTCAGAGATAAAGGAAACGTGTTAGTAATTAATTACTGGAGGGTATTGGAAATAAGTTTAACCAATCAAATCGATTATTAATTGTTATGGAAAAAAATTTTATTTAGTTACTAAATGGATTTAGTTTGAAACATCGCGTTTCAGTGCCATTAAGATTCATACTTCAGAATATTTATTTATTTATACCAAATGGCAGGCGTTTTGGTAGTTATCATTAGCCCTTTAGTTGACTTCAGGCTTCACAGAGGGGAGTAGGAACTTCAAAGTGAAAAAAAAATCGAGAAGGGGACAAAGATGCAAAAGAGACAGACACAAAGGTAGAAAAAAGGTGAGATGAGTATTGTGAAAGCAGTCGAATATGACATACAGTGGGGTCATGGTAGTTTGAAGTGAGAAGTCAACTGCCGGTTAATAGACCTTTTTGCCGTATGAGTATACGTTGCCCAGGGTGCACCACGTGGAGGTAAGTCTATCGCACACCCCAGCTGATTATAGTTTCTTCCTATTTCTGATTTTGGGTCCTAGCCATAATACTGCGAGCACCAAGTTTTGCTATGCATTTATCAAGTTTCTTTATAAATGCCTTATGTGGCTATAGGAAGTGTTAATTTTAGTCGACTCATTTTCTTCCCTTGTCTTTCAGGTTCATCAAAGTAGCAGAAAGTCTAGGGGTGGGGAACAGAAGAGCGATCCAAAGATGTAAAAGAGGCAGACAGACACAAAGTTAGAGAAAAAGGTGAGGTGAGTACGGTTGAAGTAGTCGAATATGACATACAGTGGGGTGATGGTAGTTTGAAGTGAGAAGTCAACTGCCAGTTAATAGACTATTTTTTGCCATATGAAAATGCGTTGCCCAGGGTGCACCACGTGGAGGTAAGTCTATCGCACACCCCTATACTTCAGAAGTAAGTGGAGTTAATATCCGCAATCTTCAGAGCTTACTGATGAGTCAACTAACTGGATTGAGCACGAATATTATG